TGCAGTCAAGAATGACGTTCTGAATCAACTGGGGAAAACTAAGCACAGCTTTCGTAGTCTATGCCAGTCACATATTCCTCAGAAAAGGCACCAGATTGAAAAATCTAGATTTTCTTTAGGTGCACAAAGCAGACAGAGGTCAGATGCTATCACATGTGGTCCAAAGTTAGATTAGATTGGTAAGAACTCAGCTTTCCTTGCAACAATCCAAAATCTAAAATTTCAGTCTAAAGTTATATGAGAGATAAAGCAATCTGTACACTCATTCCACCTTACAAGAACAATCAGTAAGTAGCAGCGCTGGACCTTGTACCTCTCATTAGCACAGACACTTTCAATCCCAAAGGAACAAAGGCTTGTGAGCTAACTAACTATGGCACATCAACAAGCTGAGAGGAAGTGGAAAAGTCTTAATTTACACATTCTCTCAAGATACAGTTTCATAACCACAGAAGAATGACTGAAATTTCTTAACTACATTTGGAAGGTAACCATGACCTAGAACCTACATCATCAACAAGGTAACTAATATAGATTTTACAAGCACAGTATAACTCAAAACAGATCTCCTAATTATTCCTTGGAAAATTTACATTCCACAGAATTGATACGCTTTTTGTTTCTGTCAGAATTACAGATTTCAACCCAGCATGTCTGATACAGAAGTGTCCCACCAAATTCATTTGCATGGATACCATCATGATTTTTAAAGATGAAGAACATCTACGGTACTGAGCAGCAGACGAAATATTAGATGACCAAAACCTAGACAGTAAGTTGTTTTTAGATAGTTTTTAGTAAACCCTGCTAGTGTTGATTCAGTCTATAACAATTCTAGGATTAATGTCAAAGTATCTTGTGAATAGAATGGAAATCAAAATACAGGCTACATTAATTAGCTCATGTCACTGGAAACATTTGCAACTACATAACATGAAGTTAACTTCAACATGACTGTATATGCAATCTGCTGCCAACAGTCAGATAAACCAGATGCAAGCTTACTACAGAATTACTATTCACAGATCAGATTGTGTATTCTGGTTTACAAGCTTTGGTGTCTTTTAATACCTCTCATTTTCATTATCTCGTAATCCTCAGCATCAATAAACTCAGACCTGATTTTGATCCTGTCCCTAGAGCGCATCTATAAAAGCTATCCATACTACTTGAAACAAATTAAGACCTCCTGTACTATCAGTCTGAATACACTTTGAATTACAATATAACCTTCATGTGCGGGTTTTTTTTTTCTGTTTTTTTTCATTTTCTTTTCTTTTCTTTTCTTTTCTTTTCTTTTCTTTTCTTTTCTTTTCTTTTCTTTTCTTTTCTTTTCTTTTTTTTTAATGTGAAAAAAATAGGCCTAGCAGCACTACACAATTAGGTCTTAATAACAATCAATCCTAATTATTACAGCAGTATTACTTTGTTTTCTTTCACACAGGAAGAGCTTTCTGCATTTTCTATGTTAGTTTTCTTCTTGTAAGTACATTTTTCCTTGCAAACTTCAGAAAACCTCATCTTCATCAAATGGGACACTTCATCCTTCACAAAGGACAAACAAAGACAATATCTGAACAGCATCTGGCTTCCTCTGTATGATCCTCTAGCATATCTTTGCAGTGCTATTACAGTCATCACTGAATAATGCTGCAGACTTAGGACAAGGTAATTTTTTTTCTCTTGCCATAATACAACTTTTTAAAGTTTACTTACTCTTCATCTTAAATCTCATAAGACATAAAAAAACATGCAATGGTGTGGAAGAGGCACTTGCCTTAACTCCAAGCTTCAGTCTGCAGCACTGATCAGTGATGGGTGTGATGACACCAACAGAGTGCATGCTGAAGTATCACATAAAGGAAGCTGAAGTTCATGAATGAAAGGGAAAAATAAAACATCGTTAAACAGTGAGAAAAAATATGAGAGAAAATTTACTCAGGAGCATGGAGTAGCTAGAGAAAAATACGCCACTTCAGCTTCTTAAAATTTCCCAGTTATATCTGTTTTCATTCTTCTGGAAAGACACCTCAACTGCCATAACATGGATATAAGCTGAAGATTTTCTTATTTCCTGGGTAAACTTTTGGTTTTAGTAAGGCTGATGGAAAAACACTCATCAAGCTCAAAGATACATTATTTTAACCCATAGCTCCTCTGTACGTAGTAGTGAACACTGGCAATTTAAAAAAAGCATTACATGCTGTTTGTTTACATACATAAAAATAATTATGTAGTGACGTGCTAATTAACATATCATTTGTTTAGTTGTTTCCTTAAAAATTGTATGTAATCATGTGAACCTGAAGTTATTCTCACATTAGATGTGTCCTTGCAGTACTGCACTCTCCTTATAATTGTAATTATTTCAATGCAGACTGACTGTCCCACTGTAAGTTCTTACATCTTGTCTCACTTTACAGGGAAAAGATGAGCCCTCTAACGCTTTCAATGCAAATAAATTCTTCTAGATAATTAATAATCTTGGCTGAATATTGCTTTCTATGTTGATTATGATTTTATAAAGTTGAGAGCATATCTGACAAATAAAAATTCTTTCATTTGTCCCAAATACTCTCACTCTGAAGTAGAATTACTTTGAAAATATCATTCAGACTGCCATATTCGAAATTCATGCAAGGTCATAACAACTTGTGCATTTACAGTGTTAACCTATGTTTAATTAATGAATATGTAATGTGTTCCCTTTTAACATCACGATTTCATAGTGAGCATACTGACACACCATTATGTGTGTGTCATAGAATATGGCTGAAATATAATTTTGATCTATGCTGACGCCTAAACCAGCATAAAATAAGACAAGGAGGTAATCATTATTTTGATGGCACAGCTACCCTTTCTTAATTCTAGATAAGACTTCTCATTACTAAGCCCAATTTTACACCCACCTGCTCTTTAATGATGGCCAGAAAATCCCCAAACCAAAAGCAACTATTGATATAAAGTGTGTCATTTTGAGGACTTACTAAATTCAAACCAAAAATACAGAAAAAAACTCATTAATATAGTATCAGACTCTAAACATCTGTCACCATAGCAAATTTTGAAATGTGAGCTAGGAAGCTTCACATCTTCTCATGGTCAGTGATACGCATCCTCACATTTTCTCCAGTTGATATCTAGGTGAGATCTCCAAAAAAAAGAAGAGCTATCAGCACAGCTCCCATTTCTGACATAGGATTATCCAGTAGATCCCACTGATTTTAATTGCTTAAAACTTTTTGTCCAGCTGGACAGGCCAAGTTTCATGAATTGAAATGCATCTCATTATTTTTATTTGTAAGTTTGACTAAAATCATCGTTTTGATTATTAATCTTCAATATTATTTAAAGCTAAAAGTTTGAAGTCATGTCTTAATGTTTGTCTTTGTATGAAATGGAGTCTCCATCATTCTTTACAGAAGCAGAGATGGTAAAATGCTTTGAATATGCCATTACATAAATATTCTACTGTTTTGATCAATGAAAATGAAGTATAGATTTCTAAGTACACAAATATTCAAATCACTTGAGGACTACAGGGGAAGGGGGTTAAAGCTACATTAGAGAAAAGGAAAAAAAAAACTGTATTGTGAAGCTGTCTGAATGTATGAGTCACCTCTAAAAAAGTATTTAAAAAGAAGAATTTTAATTAAAATACTTAAATATTCGGAATAGTTTAATAACAAACATGGAGCAGCATCAGAACAAATGGCAGGTCTGAGACATTTCCACCAACAAAATAGAACTTCATTAAGTACATTATATGTGTAAATCCAACAATCACGCCTGTTTCCATCCTAATTATGATGATATCTTGTAAGGCTACCACTAAGATACCATCTTTTTGTAACTGTGCTACCGCTAAGATCAAATTCTATTGTATGTACACCATCATTAAGCTATACAAGCTCTACATAAATTGTTAATTACCAATTCATACTTAGTACTTTAGGACAGTGGTATAGTATTATTCTAAAAGTGCTTTTTATCTAGAAAATGGTTTAAAATATATATATGCATATATATATATATGTATGGAACTGAACTACCAGTTTATTTTCTTTCTCTTTTTTTTTTCTTTTAAATAGCAGAGTGTTTTCAACATGGTGACTTGATCTTGTTGAGTGAGGTTTCTCCTTTGAACATAGAGAAGTAATGCAAAATTATCCTACAGATATTTTCTTATTGTCAGATGATACATCAGATTAAAGCAATTACAAAATAAACAAATATAAAGCTCAGTTACAGAAATTCTAGATGACAGAAGTGGAGGACATTTCAAATCACACTCATCTGTTCAGTGGATCTTTCTTTTTTTGATACTTTAGATTTTTGGTAGGTAGGTATAATCCATTATTTCTCAATGTTTTCCTTCCTTGTAAAATGTTAAATTTCCAGTTTCTGAAGACACAATTTACACATTTACTTAAGTATAAAATCTGAAGTTAATATTACAGCTGATTACAGAGTAATTCAATGAGTTTGAGTTCTCCAGGAAAGATACAGCACAGGAAAATGAAAAGGCATGTGCAGATTTTAACACTTCAAGTTGCTTCTAAAACTAAAATTCCTAACAACTTTTTCTGACTCCTTTCTGTTTACACTAAGTCAATGCCAAAGGAATGTTCATAAAATGAAAAATACCAAGTAGCAAATATTTGTAAGAGGTTTACTGATAGGCAGACAGCTTCAAGATACTGCAGAACAGGTAAATTAACACATCCTCTTCATGTTACACTCTCTTGATTATAACAACTTTGCTTTCTGAAGTGTACAAACACTTCCATATTCACATGCAGTGTATAGCTCTTTTACCTGATATGAAAACACTACCAGTTGCAGCACATTCATGGGAATGGCTTTCAAACACACGTAATGAAGCATGAAACAGCAATACAGAGGTTAAAATGACCTTTCTAAGCAGGCATAGTACTGCGTATTCTAAGAAGAAAGTGTTCAGATAGCATATAAAACAACCACAAAAGACTACTCACCATGTCATATGCTGTTACAATCTTTTTCAAGACCTCTGGAACTATCCCTTGGAGCTCCATAGTCGGATACTGATCATTGAGATTCAGTACTACCAAGGGTGCACTATCAGGCCCAACCAAGCGCGTAGACACTGCCAAAATGCACTGCATAAGATTTGCTACAGGAGAGAGGCCACATAATTCTTTGAATGAGACTACTGCATTCTGCAAAAAGGAAAGAAAGAGTTTCCTTTACAGTTAAATACAATTTTAAATTTATCATTCTTTCAGGTTAATATACAACACTACAACAGCTGAGCTAAAACGTACACAGATTTTCCCCGAAGAACTGGCAGCTTTAAAGCAAACAAGATTACACTTGTAATTAACTAGAAAAGTTAAAAGTTCCAGCAATACCTTCTGCAGCAAAAATCTAATTAGAACAAGTGTGTGGCCTATTCCACTACTAAAATTAACAATGCAAATAAAATGAATTCTGAAGCATACTGCTTTTTTGTTTTGAAAAAATTCTGAAAGATATTTCAAAGTAACTTACAATACGTTATCAGGAGAAACAGCAGGTGGTGAATGTCCCATATAAGCAAGGTGGAGTGGAAAGAGAAATTCAGTCCATTTGTAACTTTAGAAATACCTTAACTATCATCCAGACGTGCTGTGGATCTGCTGGCTCCCATTTGGTGCAATTCACAAACCCAGCACTCCATTAACTGATGTCACTCCTATCACAGGATGACTTAAACCAATTTTTCAGGTACTTTTATATAAATTCCAATTTTGTATATTTCTCTAAAATTTATTATAGTTTTAATTGATATCCAATACGGTGGAATATAAAATTGCATGTTAAAACTTGAGAAGAATTTCCAGTATTAGAAATACAATGCGACTCCAAGCAGCCACTGAAATTCTATGAGAGGAATGTTCTCAGCACTGTATTGAATTTAGGATGTCTGTACCAAGTGGGAGCTGGTGATCTCTGGCAGGTCTGGAGTTTGTTTTCCTGGAAGAAACAAAATCATTGCACATTTGAGTTACAAATGTGCTCAATGCTCCCTTCTTTCTCATCTACACTGGGTATCTGACCAGTTTTTAGGACTGATTAATCATTTTCATCAAACCATTTTCCATCTTGACGGCTTTTTTTTGGACAAATTACCTTGAGGGACGTAATGTCAACTTTAATGCAAATAGTAATCAAATGTGAAATATTCTGCGCTCCTTTTATGAAACAAAATAAATAAAATAGATTTCAAGATATCTACATACAGGATACAGGTGCCAACCTATGTGAATACCTACGTTACATCTATTACGTTCACTTACAGTATACTTCAGTAAAGTAGCGTTCAGTAAACGTCCAGCAAAGACAAACTACTTCTAACAACCAGACTACAGCTTAATGATACAATAATTACACAGTTGGAAGGAAAAAAAAAAAAAAAAGACATTGGAACGTCTTTTCAAGCCGATTTTGTTTAACAGCATGAATAAATCATTATGATCAATAATTTTACAGAGAGGTAAATGAGAGCACAGGGAGCATACACATTAGCTACTGGCAGGCAAGACAAAGATACAGCTGTAACTCTTGCCTTTGACTTGTAACCCTATATCCGACTCCATCAAACAATTTAAACATACATCACATCCACTGTTCTTTCATCAGTGATGAAAGTGATGATCACATAACAAGTTATGACATCAGCTTTTGTCATGGCATTGCAGTGCATAACAAAGATGATAAAAGGCTACCTATGATTAAAAATATGATTAAAAAAAAAAAAAAATTAGACTTCCTGCTCTACAATTCCTTATTTTTTACCTTCTTCCAGTTTATTTTAAAAACAAAACCAGTTTCTCAGTATCTGGCTTCAGGGACATTATGTTCTTCTTTACTCCCAAAAGCCATAATTCATAAATCACATTCCTTGACATAAGCTGGTATTTATTTTGAGTGGCTTACTTATTTTTATTAGCTGGAAACCTTTAGTTATACAGATTTTAAATTATGCACATTATATAACCTGCCAGGAAAGCTACACAAAACTAATGTTCCTACATATACATATCATAAATACCTTCTTGATAGCACTTTGGGATACAATAACAATTTAGTTGATAATGCAACTTAAACTGAGAGAATAAAATATCTAAGACATCTTCCAATATCTGCCATTCAAAGAAACCATACTGCAAAGACCGACAGATTATAGCAGCTCTGGAAAACAAAGCAGCACATGCAGTGAAGAGTTTAAAGCAGCTACAAAAGCTGCACGTTTTTGCTCTCCTTAAATCTCAGATTCAGCTATTCCTTGAAAGCCATTTTAAAATACAGTACCTCTTATGTGACAGAATGTTACGCTTCAAGAGATTAACTACACGTAAAGCTCACTCTATACCTAGCTTGTAAAGCAAAACACTTTCACAAACCAAAATATTATCTCCATATCTTTCTAATAATTTCTTAGTATAGTAATGTTATATATCAAATAGAATGGGGGAGCTTCAAAACACTGAAATACTTTCTTCTTCCATAAAGAGAAAAACCAGTTTTAAAACTGTACTACTAATAAAATCTCTTCAAGATAACATTATTCATGAAGAAAATTTATCTACGCTGATGTCTTTGATCAGTTTCCCCTTCATGTTAAATAAAAGTATGATGATTTAATAAGCCACTTCATTTCAAATGAAGTTGCTGAATTTTACAGATCGCTGCTAGTATTTCTTCAGAAGTTTGTAATTAGTTAAAAGCTTTACTAAATAAAATGTAACTTTAAAGTCCTCTGATTTAGAACTAAAAAGAGCTTATTTACCTGAAATCTTTATTAGAATCTCCAAAAATTGCATTTGGAAGTTAGATCTCCTGGGTTCTGCAAAAACAAGCTAAAATCTTACTGTACTTTCTACTAGCATATATATAATAATTTTTTTCAAAGACACAGGTCTAGTCAACAGGTTTGAGTTCTGAATCTCGTTTTTCACACAGAAAAAAATGGCAAACTATGTGTATGAATCACAGTTTACATCAGTAGATGGTATCACCCCAAAAGTTGCTCTAATATAATCAGTTTTTAAAGCTGCTCAGCATTAGACTTGATTCAAGTAACTTACAAAATGCAATAAGACTCTAAACAGCACATATTATTTACGTATCATAACACAAAAATACACATAACGTACTGATAAATTCACCATAAAAACTGTACCTGCATATTTTCTCTCAAATCCGTGGCATCTCGTATAGGCTGGAGAGCATTCTTGAACACTTCATCTATTGTTTTAATCCACAGTGTTCTCACAGAAGCATACTCCCGTGATTTCTTGCCCTTCCTCACAGAGAGGCCCCGCTTATGAGGTTTCCCACCACCCCTTCGATTAGTAATGGCCACATGCACGAACAAGGAAGCATGTGCTAACATTTCACCAGTTAAAGACTGCAGAGGAACATGACGATAACCAGTCTGTAGACACTCAAAGGGAATAGTGTACTGCCCGATAAACTCATCCCCAATGTAATCATCATCCAGCACTACAAAACGCACCATTGCTAGTTCTGGTAAATTTATTTGAAATTCAAAACTTTCATCAAAAATTGGATTATCACCATTCTGGTGCATAGTCTTTGTCCTTTGCTCGGCACAGTCAGCAGGGATTCCATGTATTTCAACATAGACATATGGATCCACAACATCACCTTTGGCACCTGATCCTTTGGGTTTAGGAAAGTTTTGCCCACTAATGATTTTAATATGAAGCAGCTGAGGTGAAACTCCAGGCACAGTGTCTTTTGTGTTTGCACTAAAGAAAGATACTTCTTCTCTCATGATAGCAGGACGAAGGACGTAGCCACAGTTCCCATTTTGTCGAAACCAACCAATGTTAAGATCCATCATTAATCCAGGCGTCTGAAAGTTCATGGCTACTATCTGACAACCACATTTCCAAAAATCCTGGGGATTCATATTACTAGAGTCGATCCTCATAGGACTGGGAAAAACTCTGGCAAGAAAACGTTTGTTGTAATTTACAAAGTCTCCCGGGTTTTCATTGGCATATTTGCTAGCAAGCACTTCATTAAATGAGCACACTTCCCAGTACTTCTGGAGCTGAAATGAAACTTGAAACTCTTTGAACTGAACTGATTTACATATGCTTACCAACTCAGAGAGCTCTTTGCAAAGCTGAAATCGTTTCCCAGTCAAAGAGTTTTGTTGTTCTACACCCTCTTTCCCCACTCTTTGTGACATTTCTGCCCCTTCATCTTCATCCGTAACATCTCCTTCTAGTCCAGAACAATTTGAGGAAAGCTTTTTTGCTTTAATTAGTATTTTTCCTTTAAGTGATTCTGGTGATGGAAGATAAGAGTCTTCAATGTTTGGAGACTGCGTATGTAGTTTGTCTCCCAAAATTTTCTTCATGTGTTGTACCATCACTTTCTGCTGCTTTATAGAACAGTGATTTTCTAAACATAAAATAAGAGGATACTCTGAAGCAAAAAATGCATACTTGTTAATAATGTCAATCACACTACGGAAGACAATCTGAGAAGTCATTGTATGTCCCGTGTAAATCACAGGCTCATTATCTGGACCATCCCAAACATCCAGTTCAACACTGCGACAACCCATTTTAAGAGCACGAATATAACCCGTGATGTCAGAAGGCCCTCGAAACTGATCCTCTATCAAGTATGTATTATGAGATGAATTTATAAAATAATGAGATAATGGCTGTTTCATATCTTGACAAACTTTTTTATGTTCTGGGTCAAATATGTGGCAGTCTGGTGAAGTAAGGTAATTCGTAAACCCATCTATAGAAAGCCAACCCTTTTCCTGGCCCTCTTTGGCTGGCTCATATTTCTGAATAATTTCAAGGCTTATTTCTTCTGTGACATGTGCCATACCCTGTTCTGCTTCTAAAAACATCATAAGGTCCTTGGTATCTAGGAATTCTTTATTGCTTGAAAACTGAACCAACAGGAAATAGATTTCAGGTCGAGTACAAAGCTCATGAAAAACTTCAATAAACTCTTCTTTTGTTACTTCAGTACCAGTTTTTTCCTTGGATCTATGTAACTCCTTGAATTTTAATTCAATTTTATTTGTTTTTAAACCAGGATTTAGGTCTTTTATAAATTGTACAGCATTACACAGGGGTATATGTCCTACATTATCTACATCCGATTCACTGAACATTTGTGAAAGCCATGAAGTCCGCATATTATCTTGAGTACTTTCTATCATGTCTAGAGTATGTTTTCCGTAAGAAATCAGGTATCTTAAGCCAGTAACCCAAACATTTGCAATATCTGCTGAGTTAGCAACAAGATCTAGTGACTCATAGTTTTCTCCATATATGATTGAGAAAGCGCAGTCTTCTGATATCTGGTCATATATTCCATTGCTGCGAAAAATATCTGTATTTTTTCCTGTTCTTACTTCTTTGATTGACTTGATGTCAATCTTTGCTTTTTCAGAATCCTTTTTTGAAGGTTCCCAGCGTAGGGATTGCATATCTGCATCTAAAAGAAAATATCGGTGATACACTCTGGAATTGGATCGAATCTTTTTGAGCTCAGAGCCTTCAACCATTGCATTTATGCAGTCACTTGCACTGCTGATCTTTTTCTCAGTCGGCATACTGCTGAAAGACACTGTCTTCTTCCGTTCTCGTTTTTGTTTCGTACCATCCTGGTAAACAGGGGGGGAAGAAAAGAAAAGAAAACATGTATCAGTATCATTTTGCTCAATATTGAAGTAGGTTTCAGCTTACACCTGAAAGTTAATAAAGCACTCCGAGAAGGTCTGCATGTGATGACCAGCACATTCTTATTGGAATCATTACAAATTAAAACATTGATAATAGCTTAACATTTGCTCCTCTGTATAGACATAACATTTTTTTTTTTTAATGTATTTTTCATAAACACAGAATTAATCAAGGAAAGTTTTAGGAATGTTAATAATAATGTTGTCTATATACATTTTATCAATAATAATCTATTTAAATACTTAGTTGGTCTACAGCCAAGGCAGTAGGAAGTAAGATATCTTCTGAGCCTTTACATAGTACTATAGATACTTGCAAAACAAAATGCAGTGCTTTAATACCACGACAACGTGATCTTCTCAAGAATACTAGAGAAACAATAATACAAAATTAGTTATTTAAAATTCATAGGATATGGTCCTTATCTAAGTGTACAGACAAGACAGCACTTAACATGCTTAGTTCCCTCCTCTACTGCACCCATCCATGTTCTTCTCTCAGTCTGTCTATAGTATTGTCACATGCATCCCACCCCCATTTTAGAAAAACACACATTTTAGAAAAAATCCACATTAGTCTTAATGAGCTACACTGAAAAATAAATGACAGGACTGGAGAAGATAATTCACTCCACATTCTGAATTTCAGGAAATACAGTGACAGTGACTCAGGAGGGAGTGCCTGAGAGGGTTAAAGGTTAACACGTTCCAAAGAAGATGTGTATGGTCAGAAAGACAGTGAATGGAAAGGCAAGACCTGGTCAAGAAAGGAAGCAAAGTTCACCTTTGCTCATAAAACTATGAAAGAACCCTAAGTTCTTAGTCTGCTAGAGAAAGCCTTGATAGAAGACTAGACATAAGTCATTAACCAAACAAAATTAAGAAGAAAAATAATGTCATTTAGCTTAATTGTTATTTATATTGATTCAAACAAGTATAAATCAATAACAGATTAGATACAATCAATTCCTCAATCATTTTTTTTTGCTTTCATTATCTGCATCTTTTTTAAGAATAAAAAATACTGCAACAGTTTGAACAGTTGCATGCACTGAGAAGCAACTCTATAAGACTTTTAGTCTGAAATAATCTTTTAATGGAATAACCTTTTTATGTTAGATATCCCAGTTAGAAGTGTTCTTATATTCCAGCTTTGCTTGAAAAAAACGTATCCAGATGTCTACAACAAAATTGTTAGTTTTCCGTCGAACAGTTTTCCATCTGAAGTACATCCCAGTGCAAATAAGCATCACATATAAGACAGAAAGGAGAGGAAAAGAAAGCTTTTAACAACTAAAATACCAAACAGATATTCAAAAATCATCCTATAGAGAACGCACTTTCAGTTCATGTCATATATATTCTTTATTTAATTTCATAGAGTTAAAAATTATGTGCAATAATTCTGTTTTTATAATTCAATTCATAAGCACTGCAAAGGTTTTCAATGAAAACAGTGAAGTAGACTTAATATTCGTGGTTCCATGTTTGGAAAAAATAATTAACCATATGATTATTGCATCTTTAATGACAGCAGAATATCCTTTACACAAGCTCTCCAGAGCCTAGTAAAAATTAATAACCCTACAAAGGACTGATTTAGTCTAAGTCCAAACCTCTGCAATGGATATTATGCAAGGCTAACTTGAAATGTCATTTCATGTAGTTCGGTCATTAAGATTGCTTTCAGACAAAGGAAAGTTTCCTTACTTGGAAAAAAAAAAAATACAAATGTGATTTTTGTTCACAAAGGTTTTAGTTCTATTTTAACCCTCATTTATCCAAGGTTTTAGTTCTACTTTAAGCCTCATTTATCCATATCACTGAATTTGAAGGAAAAGAAGGGTGAGTCCCATAGAACTGAGCAATGAAGCTCCTTTCTGCTATCTCGGGCCTTGAAATGAAGTGTGCTAAACTGCTTAGATTTTTCAGACACAAATCTAGGAGGGGAATATGATCCATAAACTCTTTCATGAGACAGATGGCAGATAACCTCCTGACATGAGAAGCATCAAGAGTTGGGAAGTATCACCTTGCCTGTTCATAATCAGTATTTTTAAAGCCAAAAAAAAATGTATGCCTTTCTCCATCAAGACCATGTCTGATCCTAGACACCAAATAGCAAGGGAGAAAAAAAAAAGTGCAGTTTCTTGATGCCATCTAACGTTAGCAAGTCCATCTCACGGAATTCTCATTCGCAAGCAGTTTCTGAAAGCCTGAATTGGAGTTCACACATATGTATTAGAAGAATAATTTAATCTAGCACATGCAAGACCATTTTACTTGCTTGCTAGATGAATCCAAGGCCATTTCAACAGCATTCTACTTTTCTGCAGGGCAAAACAGTTGCCCCACTTGCCTTACTCATGTAAAGCCTGCTGGCAGTAGATATCCCTCTTTGAATGTGATAACCACAAAGACAAATTTTAAAATACTCTGCAGAGTTTCTCACAGCTCTGAGCTCCAGAATACTGATCATAAGATTTGCTTCTCGAGACATCAGGGATCCTGAGGTTGCGAGAGTCCTCATCCCAATAGACACAGGGACAGTCACAATCAATCTGAATAAACAAAAGAACTTAAAGGATATTTTCACAAAGACACAGGCCAGGACCATCTACCAAATTACAGAAGACTTACAGAAGAGAAAGACAAGGGAAACTCTCCCTCATATACTGAAAATGTAATTGCATATTCTGTATTTAACAAGTTTGTGAGCCTCAGCAATAGAGTCTGACATGGAAAAGACGACAGATGTATTCTGCTATATAATGTGGAGGATTTCTCCTTGACTTTGGGGTGCATTCGTGACCTGGATCCAGCCTCTCACGGCCTTATGTCTGACTTACAGATTAGCAAACTTCATGTATCTGACAATTTCTCAGCATTCACAAAACAGTGTTCTCAATGCTATTCAAGATGCTCAAAGTGAAACCTCTCCAGCATGGCTTCATAATTCTGTCCATCACAGAAACTAGATTTTTTGTTGAAAGAGCTCTCTAGTATCTCTACACAGTGAAGACCACGTCAATATTCGGATTATAACTGACACTGTCATCACAAAGCAGAACTTTTAGGACTGCATGTTCTTTAGAAGGCATTAACACTGAAACCAGAATGACCACCTCATCAATACATTTCCAAAAACAGGTGTCACATCCAATTTCATCTCCAACAAATTTTGAGATGGAAAAAGTGCAGATGAACAGCACAAAGAGTTTAGTTTATCCAGGAGTTTGTGCCCACAGAAAGCAAGTTCAAACACCAGAAATAATCCCAGCTGACATCTATAGCACTTAAAGAAAGCTGGAGAAAAATGCTTAAAAGAGCACATAGAGAAGACAGGCTTGTTCAAAGATTCTCTCCATGGTAACTTGTTTATTATTACTATCTCTCTCACAAAACAAAACAATGAAATACTTATGTGACTAAGAAAGCAATGTTGCCAAAAAAAGAATAACCCAGAAGTTCAGATATTGCTTGGTATAGGAGAATGTAAGGTGTTCTAGAAGGAAAGCTGTAGAGCCAAGACAGCCCTCAGCCTTCCCAAGGCAGAGGTGAAGGGTCTGCGGAGATGCAAGTGAGCTCCACACAGCAGAGAATGACCCTCCCATGGATCAGCCAGCGGGGGTCTCTGAGATGGGAGACTGGGACTCCATCTGCCTCCATAGCTACCTGCAGTTCTGATGTGGTAGTTATGGTAACTGGGATTTGAAGGTGAAGCCTTTGTCTGCCTTTTGCCCACAAAGGTACTCACTCCTTTTGAAACGTTGCTTTACAATGATGAGACAACGGTAACAAAAGGAAGTGGCAGAATGACACGTTTTTAGAGAACTTGTCCAGGAAGTGAAAGTTCCTGGTGTTGATACTCTGCAAACATTTCACTTGGTGACTCCAAATGCTAACTGCACAGGCAGTCCACGCAGCAGGGACCATAACTCTGAGACTTGCCTGCTCAGAGAAATAGTCATTCCCCTTGTTTAAGCTTTACCTTACATTTCCATTTGTGGTTATGCACCAGAGGTTGCGCAGAAGAGTGGAAGGCAGTTCCATCCCCACCCCGAAAACGTTCTCCCAGCACACGAGGAGCTGCAGGCCTGAATTTACTGTCATCTAGCAAAAAGCTGGTTTGGAAGTAATTTAATGGCATCTGTAGCCAACGCTTGCAATACAATTCATTGTTTTATGACAGGATTGAGAATCTAGCGATCTCTGCGATGAACACAGAGCAAACTACCCTTGTCACATTTTATATAACTCATCAATGACTTGCTTTTATTCCTTGTGTGATGCTTAACTGGCACATTTCACTATGAAATCTGCCCATTTTCTTCAAATACAATGCAGCAGCAATTGCAAAAATCACCCAATTTAACAATGCCATCTATAACATAAGTCTATTTCAGAAAGTGCTTACTTTAAAAAAGAATTGAAGCCCTGCTTATTTATTGTACTTTTCTTCAAAATCCTGCACAGCAGAAAAACATAGAGCTCTCTTCAAAAAAGTATGCTTAATAAATATGGTAATAATAGAAATGATCATTTATTTCTCCAAACACTAAAAAAATGCTTCATTATTATTTATGGATCACCTGTGTACAGATGCTAGCTCTTTGCAGACCAAAACATGAAACATTATAAAAGAAACTAAGAAAGCTTTTGTGTGTGAGTCAGTACAAAAAGAAGGGGAAAAAAGGAACTGCAACTAAAATCAGTTTAGAAATTTTACATCACTGTTACAGAAAATCTAGCCCTGATTTTAAAGTTATACAGGAGGGCAGCTCTAAAATAATGCCACCTATTTTATTATGTTATTATGTCCATGACAACAGAGGTGGATGTTGGTGGTATGGCAGTAGAGGTTGAACTTCCAACCAACAATCCATAACATATAAACTACCATCAGCAAGTTTGCAAAACAC